CTCTCTGTGGCCAGGGTGACAGGGGTTTGTGTGTCTGGACTGGCTCTCTCAGAGTGACTGTGTATGTGTACACTCCTTGCCACCCCCCCAAGTCTGGCCACCCTGGGCCATATTTACTCTGCCCCCAGCCGACTTCTGCCCTGCCCGGGGAGGGGCTGAGCCTCCAGTCTGGTCTGTCCGGCCGGCCGGCAGTCCACAGGATGTTCCCGAGACGCTGTCTCCGCCAACATCCCCTCCCTCCAGCCACCCTTGGGTCAGGACCCAAGCGTCCAGGGCAGCAAGGGGTGGGGCTGCAGCATTGGGGCCTTGTCAGGGCCCCGGAATGAGGGTGGGGGATGGGGAGGTGACGGGCCCAACAGGTTCCTCTTCGCCTCTCACTTCCTGGGTGCCCGCTGGGCCAGGGGGTGGATGGGATGAACCCCAAGGCCTCTGAGCACCTGGGAGGGGCACGGGCTAGCCAGCAAGGACTAGCTCCTGCTGGGCACCCTGACACCCTGGCCTGGGAAACAGGACAAGTCTGGGTCCTTCCATAGGCCACCCCTCTCTGTTCCTGTGTCCAGCTCTAGATGCAAAGCATCCCATCCATTATTCACCTAATCCCGCAACACCACAATGAGCAGGACACAATTACCCCCCATTTTCGGATGGGGAAACTGATACCCAGACAGTGATGAGAACAGAGGCAGGATTTGAAGCCAACTCTGTATGCTACCCAAGACCCCCACCCAGTTCACCAACCGCCTTCCTTTCCCTCTTTAAAATAATACATGTGGGGTGGAGTATGAACTCAGGCCCCCAGGAGGCCCGGCTCAAGGGGGCACCCAGCTTATTCTGAGTCAAAAGGGGCCCCTGGATGAAATGAATAAGAAAAACGGCTTTAACCGTTTCATCGCCAAGAAGGGCTCTGCCAAAACTTCCTGTGGGCTGGGGGGGGAGGGACTGGAGGCTGGGTTCCCGGAGGCCTGGGTGGGGGTAGGCCCTGCCTATTCAGGGATGGGGGAAACGCCTCTGGTGACCTTGGGGAGGGACTGGTAAGGGACGACACCGCCCCTGCTAGAGGGGCAGTCTTTCTCCCGGAGCACGAAGTCCCCAAGTCCCCATAACTTGGTTCACCCCCTTCCTGGAGGGGGTCTTAGAGTCCACATACCCCTCCCCAGGGGCCTGAGTCAGACACGGGGAAAGCCGCGAGGGGTGAGTCACGGGGGCGGTAAAGACGGAACGGGGTCGGCTGCGGCCAGGGGACCCCCGGGCCGGCCTGAGTCATGCACGCATCGGCCTCGCCGACCCCAGCCCCCTTCCCCCGAGACCGGGAGCGGGAACCGCATTGTCTGCAGATTACGGAGTGGAGGGGGAGCAGAAGAGGAGGGGAGAAAGCACACTCCAGATAGCGCGGGAAGCTCGGAAGCTCGGAAGCTCCTGTTCCCATAGTAACTAGGGGGGTGTCTCAGTTCAATCGGGGGGGGGGTTCCTCTCCTGGCAGGGACGGCCCCCAGGCGCCGGGGAAGCCCCCGCGCAACGTCGAGGGCCCACAAGTTTCAGGTCGGGCAGGAAGGGGTTAACGGCAGCCCCCTCCCGGGTTTCATCCGTGGCCCAGGACCGGGGTAGGGCGGGGCAGTGCCCCGAGCGCCCCGCCCCCGCGGCCGCCCACGCACGCTCGCACGCAGCTCGCCCATCCCCTGCTCCCCGCTCTCGCACGCACGACCGCGTCGGGCTCCACGCACACAGTGACCCCGTCGTTTCTCACGTCACGCACGACGCACGCGCCCCCGCAGCGCCGGGAAGGTCCCTCCCAGCTCAGAGCCCTGGGATGCTGGGCCTCACGCCTTCTGCGCATATCACCATCTCAGTGTGACTTTGACACTTCCCCACAATGTCACAAACTCTCCCACTACCCACAGTATCACGGACACTGGATACACCTGCCACTCCATGTTGGCACAAACCTTCACTAGTCCAGCCAGTCCTGCAGCGCATGCGGACAGGGTCACATGGATACATACAGAGACGCAGATACACAGACACACACCGTTTGTGGTAAGGACACAGGGCCGTCTTCATACACAGAGGTCATACATAGACACTCCAATTCGTCACCATCAAGCCTAAGAGAAAGTCTTGGACATCAAGACCTATGACAGTCATTCTGTCATATGGTCATCACAAACAGGATGCACAAAGTAGGGTCACAGACAAACCCAAAGGCCTCATACAAGGACATCCATATATTGTGAAGGGTACGTGGACAAACCAAGGACACACAGGGCAGGGTCACACTATCATAGAATGACACAATGGAGAGAAAGGAGATGGTCAAACAGAAACACAACCTAAAGCCACATTGATTGTCACACACCTCTCACACAAAGAATGACACAAAGCAAGGTCTCATACAGAGAGCATGTGCCCCAGTCCTGACAGTCCCCCACCCCACACCACCAAATCACACACAGATAGCCTGTTGCATAAATTTCCAGGGCCCCAAGACAGGTGGACGTAGACACACACACCCATGTACACGCAATCACAGACCTACTATCTCACACATACATAAATGTGAGTGCACTTCACGTGGACTTAGATACACAGACGGGAGGGGGTATAGGATGGATGCTCCTGGAGAGGGATGTCAGTGTCTGGAGTGAAAGGGCCTGTGCGGTCCCCCTGTGGTATGTGGCATGGTGTCCACCATATGGCTGTGGTCAGCCCTAGGGGAGGGGCACCAGCCGTCAATTGTGTGAACTCAGGGTCCTCATCCCAGCCCTCAATGGCTGGGTCTCTGCCCAGATGTGAAGACTGGAGGGTGCAGGCGGGGGTCCAGCTGTGGCCGCAGGGAGGGGTTGAGTCACCCACTTCCCAGCAGTACTACCCAGGCTAGGCCCAATTGTTCCTGGAAACAGACAGGAGGGGGTGGGGTCCCCAAATCAGCTGGGGGTTGCTGGCCCAGACCTGTACTCTGTTTCTACAAAATGAGCACCTCCAGATCATCCCCAAAACTTGGAGCTCCCTCTACCAAAAATGAGAGTTCATGTCCTTCCCCCAAATAGAGGGTTCCTGTCTCAAAATGCCTGATTGTGACCCCTTCCTTTGAATTGAAGGTGCCGGGATACTCCAACAGCGTGACTCTATGCATACCATAATACAGATTACTGCTCTTCTCTGCCAACGTGGGAGATCCATTTCA